TGTCAATATTTTGTGTCCTGAGACTTTTTGGGAGTTTGAGTTTAAGTTGAACTTAAGTTGTTTCTCTCAGGTATATGACACGGCTATGGAAACTGGTACCTCTACAATAGTAATAAATAATGGTGGTTAAGTAAAGAGCCTTGTTTGCCTCTTACTGGAAATTCTTCTAGTATTTTTCCAATGGGTGGGCTGATGTTTAGAGAAGGCTTATAGAGGAAGTGGCACTATGTAGTGCCTGGAAGCTAGATGAATAAACTAGAAGCAGGAGGTCTAGGGGTGTAGTTCAGTGGTAGAGCACTTCTAGTATGCTCAAGGCCCTAAGTTTGATCTCTAGCACTGAAAAAAACAGCCGTTCTGCACCAGAAACATGTACTTCAACACTACTGTTGCATAATGTTCACTGTATTGCTAGAGACAATCTGTGCCAGTGCTTTAGACATCTGGTAAAATTCTGCCTTTTAAATTAAAATAGTAGATGCTTAGAAAGTATTGTATGTTAACTTACATACATACAGACATTATATATACGTTATGTAATATACATAATATAATATACATTATAGGAAGGTACAGATTTTTCTGCATACTTACATCCTTCTCAGTTTCAAAGCTGCAGGCGGTTTGTTGTTTTTCCAGTCTTAGTTTTGGTTTCACCTTGGTTGTGATGATGGAATGAAAAAGATAATGTGAAAAGTGCTTCAATCTGATGCAGGGTCTGTTTTGATAGAGTTTTGTGGGGTAGGGGTCATGCTCATTTAGTTATCTATTGTCCGGTTGCTTTCCTGGTTCAGTGTCAGGCAAGTAGGTGTGATGGAGGTTGTATGGCTCAGAAAGTCTAAATTTTTTTCTTTTTTTTTGGGTGCTGGAGATTGAGCCCAGGGCCTTGTGCATGCTAAGCAGGCACTCTGCCATTTAGCTTGTACCTCAAGGCCACAAAGTCAAAAATATTTACTAACTGGCCCTTTACAGACGTGTGATAAGCCTTCATCTAGATTCAGTAATATAAATATTTTGTTAAGCTGGCTCCATCTTTCTTCTGAACTGTTTTAAAACCAAGTCTGAGACTTCAAACAGCCTTATTTTGTAATGGCTAAACAATATATGCCATTTCTACATTGCAGTGGACATCCTTGTAACTAAATCTGTGCATATCCATATTTATTTCTTAGACTAAAGGATTAGCAGTAGAATTGCTAGTTGAAACTTTTTTTTTGGCAGTGCTGGGGTTCGAACTCAGGGCCTACACCTTGAATCACTCCATCATTTTTTTGTGTGATGGATTTTTTGATATAGGATCTCCCGAACTATGTGCCTTGGGCTGGCTTTGAATTGTAATCCTTCTGATCTCTGTCTCCTGAGTAGGTATGATAACAGGTGTGAGCCACCAGCCCCTGGTGCTAGTTCAAACTTTTAAGACTAGAGTGGCCACATTATACATTTTGACATATTTTTTACTTTTTTTTTTTTTTTTTTTTTTCAGTATTGGGGTTTGAAGTCAGGGCCTTATGCTCTGTCTCTTGAGACACGCCCCGTAGCCCTTTTGCTTTAGTTATTTTTTTTAGATAGGGTTTCACATTTTTGCCTAGGCCATCCTGGACCTTGACCTTCCTATCTGTGCCTCCTGAGTAGATGGGATTACAGCTGTATGCCTCTATACTTGGCTTATTTGTTGAGATGGGGCCTCACTGGTTTTATTTTGTTTTGCCCTGGAATCTCAGTCCTCCCTATCTCTGCTTCCTGAGTAGGTGGGTTTACAGGTGTGAGTCTCCTCACCCAACAGAAGCACTTTTTTTTTTTTCTGTGGTATTGGGGCTTGAACTCAGGGCCTTCACCTTGAGCCACTCTGCCAGTCCTATTTTTTGTGAAGGTTTTTTTTCTGAGATAGTGTCTTGCAAAGTGTTTGCCTGGGCTGGCTTCAAACAATAATCCTCCTGATCTCTGCCTTCTGGGTTGCTAGGATTATAGGTGTGAGCCACCAGAGCCAGCTTGATTTTTGATATGTGTAAGTTGGCAAAAAAGAATTGTAAATGCTCAGAGTTTGATAACTGTAGGTATAAAATAAATAAACCATTATCTTTTTTATTTCTTTTGTGTCTCATGTTAACGTATTGTCCGTATGAGTTGTTCCCAAACTTCTACATTTACAGTTTCATTTGGGATGAGTTCAGAAACATGGGCACCTTAAGCAAACTTACTGTAAGGTGGAATGAGTCTTTCCCACTTGACTCACATGCTTGTTCCCTTCCTTTGTGCCCTTGACCTGTGAGCCTGGAAGTGTGGCTTGTCCTCCCCTAGGCTTCTTCAGGGCTGTGCTATTCCTGTTCTAGCAGTGTTTTTCCTTACTGTGCAACTCTTTGGATTTCTAATAACAAACAGGTACCTTTACTTTTGCTTATAGTGGAGTCTTCCACAAAGACAGGGTAGGGTTGCTTATGTTTTTATGTAATGCCATCCACTCTGGCCTCCAGGGCAATCCTGTGTCTCTTTAAATTCGGGAAGCAGAACTGTAGATTTTGATCTGAAGCAACCTTTAAGTGTAAAGCAATGTAAGAAAAACAGGTTTTTGGTTCAGGTTCAATAAATTTTGCTTTGGAGTAGCTTTGTATTAAAATTAATACTGTGGAGCAGAGATGAATAGTGTCTCTGAACCTCTTGCTAGGTTCAGGTAGGTATGCTGTGTAATGAACTAGAATTTGGAGGTACTTGTTTTTTAAGTGCTATAAAGTTAACCATTAGTGTAACTAGTAAAGATCAATGGAAATCAGAAAGATTTGTATTGACTACAGAAACGAATTACATAGCATTTGGTTCGTATAAATAGTGCTGAGTTTAAGAGCTGGACTACTAAAGTGATGGGGGGCTTCCAATCTTGTGTTGCCAATGTGTTTTTAGGATCAGAATTTCCTGGAGGGCCTGGACTTGGGAAACATTTAAGAGGAGAGGTGTGAGACAATTGTTTTGTATTGGTCTGTCTTCAGCAATCCTCTTGATAGTATCTCTCTGCAGGTATACATCTCTTTTGTGTTGGCATTCTTCTTGGAGCAGGAGGGAGAATAAGGGAGTACAGGAGCAGGAAATTGCTTCCTTAGAGTCTGTATGTCTATGTTTGAGGTGTATGTGGTTCAAGGTGAACCATCTGAATGGTGGAGCTTTTGTGATCACAATTGCTGGGACCATCAGCCATCACCTGCTGCCTCATCCGTGCTACCTGTTGAGTGGACCGAGAGTGCTCCTTGGATCTCCTTAGGAGGTTTCTGTACTGGGAAACTCCACATGTACTTAAGGCTGGTACTTCCAGAAAAGTGGAGAGAGTGACAGCTACTTTTTTTGGCTTGTGAATTAGTCAGGGGTATGACTCCTTTTGCTTCTCATTTCTGGTCTTGACACTTGAGGAGTCATCTTATTGGCCTGGGTTGTCTTCAGTGAGCCTAATCAAGTCAAGACATGTGTCTGGGTAGACTCACTATAGCACAGACCAAAGAAAGAGCAATAAGAAATCAGAGAACAAGTGTATTTAAACTTGAATTCCATTGGAGAGCTCAATCAGAAAGAGAATTCACGATCCCTGGGTCTGCTACTAGAGTTTTCTACTTGATTTGACTGGTTTAAGATTCTTTGTAAGCAGAAGTTAACTTTGGCTACATTAAGACAATTAAAAAAAATTTATTGGAAGGATATGGGATGGCTTTCAGACTGGAAAGAAAAGTTGATGAGCCAGTTTTCATAAATGACCGGAGGCAGAACAGCCCAAGGATCTTGGGAATCTCTGGGGGTGAATAAGCACCACCAGCATCCAGTTCCTTCTCCTTTCTGCTCGGAAATCAAAGTCCAGGGACTGAGGCCCAGCTGGTATGGCTTAGGTCAGGTTAGGGATCTGACCTTGACTGATGGCCAGATCCTGTGGAGGGAATGGGTTCACCTAAGCCACAGTGGCTTATTGTTACTTAAAAAAGGGGACAGCTGCTGGGTAGGCAAAAACAGGAGGGGCCCTGTTGCCCTCATGCTTTCAGGAACAACTGTAGGACCAGGAGCAGAGACTGTAACCTAATACTGCTGCCACAGCGAATTTAGTTGGTGACTCTTATTTGAGGGACCTAAGTTTTTTGGTGTTTTTTATGTTGAGGGCTGACCCCACAAACATTCTTTATCACTGTTTGTGTAAGAATCTGTGAAAACCTTTGCAAAGGTTTTTCAAAGGATCTTTCCCAGTCTGGCTTGTGCACAGAGGAGAATCGGGAGTATGTTTCTAAGCCTCATGTATAGAATGTTTAGAGCACCTGTTTGACAGAGAGAAGCTTTCCTGCCCCTGGGCAGTGACTTTTTAGAAATGCCTAATATGGGTTGGCTTGGTAGCTTGTGTCTACAACCCCAGTTACTTGGGAGCTGGAGATCATGACAATCATTAGTTTGAGGCCAGCCCGGGCAGAAAAAAAAAGTTTAAGAGAGACCCCACCCCCTCAGCAAATAAGGGGGATGATGGTTCATGTCTGTAATCCAAGCTACATGAGAGGCTATAGGTAGGAGGATTGTAGTCTACAGCCAAACCAGGGCAAAAATACAAGACCCTACCTGAAAAATAACTTTAAAAAGGGCTGGGGCAAGGCTCAAATATGGTAGAGTATAGCAAGTGCAAGGCCCCAGTACCATCAAAAATCAAAACAAAAGAAAAGCCTATGTGACTAGAGATGCTCAGTGATAGAGCATTTGTGAGACTCTGGTTCTGATCACCCCCTTTTTTTAAAAGCCTAATATGGAAAAAGGTTGAGAGTTTATGACCAGCCCTGGATAGGAAGTTCTGGAAGTTCATTGGCTTCTTTGGTTAGACAGAGTGGCCTGTAGTCTAGTCACCTGCAAGGTTACCAAGGTTGTGCATGTCTCCAGATTTCATGTGAAGGCATCCTGAAACCATTCTCCAACCACATGGCTGCTACCTTCCCCTGGCAGTCCTAGTGTGCAAAGCCAAGTATCTTTGTTAACTGGCTTTTTTCCCTTCTGGGCAGGTACCTGCAAATGATGTGCATTGTCAGTGGTGTCCAACATCTGCCAGGCTGATCCATGGTCACTTTCCGGGATGGCAGCAAGGTGACTTCAGCTGAGGATGACCCTGACTGAAAGGCTGCGTGAGAAAATATCTCAGGCCTTCTACAACCATGGACTGTTCTGTGCATCCTACCCCATCCCCATCATCCTCTTCACGGGACTCTGCATCTTAGCCTGCTGGTATGTGCCCGGGTTGCCCTCCATATGGTGGACCAGTGTCTTGGGACAGTAGTTTTCCTGAGTCTAACTACTAACCCTTGGACACTGTGTGCTTTTAGACAATGGTGACTTTGGCTCATTTTTGCTGCAGAGGGGAGAGCTCTAGTTTTAGGGTGTTTAGCAATAAAATAAAATAGTTCTGGCTGGCCCTGACTTGGTGATTCACCAAATATGTTCACATCACTGGTAGTAATGTTTATCCACTTCTAAGGAACTGTGAGATAATTGAAAGGCATGATCTTTTAATTTTCCTTCTTAACAGTGGCAGTTTCCTTTTACTACTTGCTTAAGAGTAGGAGCTTTCAAACATTGAGAGGCAAAGTTCATTTGAACACCACAGTTCCTTGGATATCCTTTTTCAGACTAACCCCCCCAAACTGTCTTCTCTGTTCTCATTTTGTTAATGTTCATACAAAGCTTCCTTCCGACCTCTCATTGATTGTTGGGACCTGTCAAGGACTCTAGTGAGAACTGTAGATGGCATTGATTCTTGTCTTTTGTTCACAGGGCCTCATTGGAAGCCTGAAGCCTCGCTGGTAGTGACATTGTAAAAGGAAGGGCTTGATATAAGATAGTATTTGATAAGAGCCATTTCCCCAAAGATGATTTGCAAATGTGCAGTAAGCACACAGAATTAGGCTCAACATCATGACTTGTTGGGAAAAGGTAAATAAAAAAAAATGAAATACCACATCTGAGTTGCTTAATTTTTTTTTAACTGCTATGAATAGAGCTGCTATGAACACTCAAATACAGGCTTCTGCCTATATATAAGATACCTAGAATGAAATACCTGGATTATGTGGTATGTGTTTATTTTACTTTTAAAGAAAACTGTCAAACTATTTTTGCAAAGTGTCTTAAAATTTTACATTCACACCTGTAATATCTGGCAGTCTCTGTTCTTCCACATATTCATTAGCACATAGTATTAGTGGGTCATTTTTTATGTTGTTCTTTGGGGTGTTTAGTGGTGTCTTTAACTTACTTTTGACCAGTTGCTAATTATTATGGTTTGGATATGAATTCTCCCCAAGAAGGCTCATGTGTTGAATGTTTGGTCTCCAGCTGATGGATTCAGTCATTGAGAAGTGATTAGATCATTAGGACTCTAAACTTCATTAATGGTTCAATCTACTTACAGATTCATAGTAAATGGGCTATTAGGAAGTAGGATCTGGCTGATGGAAGTAGGTCACTAAGGGTGCCTTTGAAAGATGCACCTTGCCCTGGGCCTCTTCGTGTCTTTCTCTGTGAAGAGAACTGCTGCACTCTTCTGTACCGTCTGCACCGTGGTGCTCTGCCTCATCACAGGCCCACAGTAATGGGGCCAACTGTCCATGAACTCAAACTTGAGAAGTTTTGGACACAGACCTTTGTCAGAAATATGATCTGCAAATATTTTCTCTTGTCCCTTTCTTTTTAACAGTTTTTTTCACAGACAAAAGTTTATAATATTCTTATAATCTAGTTTTTTTTTCTTTATGGTCTGTGCTTTTAACATAATATCTAAAAACTGTTTTTAAACTCTAGTTGCAAAAAATAACTCATTTTATTCTAGAATCTTTATGCTTTTGTATATATCATTCTTCTGTGAGAGGTTTGCCATCATTGTAAATAATACTCACCTAATTCATGTTTTGTATTCACTGTACAGTTGTGTGTCACTCAATGATTGGAATTCCTTCTGAAAAATGCATTGTTAGGCGAGTACATCATTGACCATTTTAGAGTATAATTACACAAACTGAAATGTTATAGCATACTACATTACTATATACCTAGACTACATTGGTGTACATCTGTATTGATCGTTTCTACAATCATGATGAATGAAGCAACATAATAAATCAAGCATAAGAGAAAATGATGCAATCAAGACTGTTTTATCTCACATATAAATGGAATCATACAGTTAAAAAAAAGATAGCATTTGATGACCCTTTTGGCTCTAAAACACTGACAGATGTGTAAAGATGTATAAAGAACACATCCTTTTGTTGTGGGCCGGGGTCGAGAGTTCTTGCCTTCATGGGTCAAAGAATTGGCTCATGAGGCAGCAGATTGACTTGTGAGACAACAAGGTCAGCTCACAAAGTAGGATTTATTAGAGAGAAAGAAAAAGCTGCCCTAGAGACGACAGGGAGCCCAGAAAATCGGTAGCTCCCTGTTGTTTACATAGAGGGGTTTTTTATTTGGTCCTTTTTGTTGGGGAGAGTCAGGAGTCAGGGATGGAGTTGTCTTTTAACACATCTCTATAGGAACATATGCACAGTCCTGAGAAAGTCTCCTGTTTATCAGCCTTGTGCCATTTTTGAGGCATACCCGGGGGCCATGACTTGTGAAACCACATGTCCCTTTACAGGACATAAGGCTCACAGTGCTCTCATGGGGGATGAGGGCACTGGCTCACTTTGTCTTCTGATCCCCCAGACCCAACACTTTTCTCTGGAAAGAATTCTGGGTTCCAGATTTATTGTATTTCTGATGTGTGTAGACCTTTCCAGTGCTGTGCTGGGAGGGTGGCTCAGGGCTGAGCCTCCTGTTCAGTTCTGTTGTAAATGACCCCCCACATTGTCCCCTAATTAGCAGTAGGAAACATGAATACCATTTATTGAGAGCTTCCTCCTGGGTGCTATGAAGGTATTTTAGGCATATAATCATATATGTTTTAGGCATATAATCTTCATTGATCTTCATGATTGACTGGACCATCCTAGGAATAGTCTAGTTACAGTCCATTTAACAAAAGAGCCTGGGAGCTGGTCCACACAACTACTAAGGAATGAAACTGGCATTCAGATCCAATCCTTAGGGACTCTGTAGCCTGCATTAGTGGTATTTGTCATCCTCTCACTCTGGCACAGCGTTTGTATTGGTATTTGAGCTTTGCTAACTGTGCCGTACAAGGTAAAATACTTGGGGTGACATACAGTAAGTGATGAATTAGGAGTGCTCTGAAAACATAGCTTTTGTTTTCTACTAACCTTTTCCTCTCTCTTTCCATGTCGTATTTTTCTAGACCTAACACATAGTCTAAGGCAAAGGTTCTCAAACCTGAGTTAGCATCAGAACCTCTTGGAGGGCATGTTGAATACAGATTGCTGGACCTTACTCCAGAGGCCCAAGAATTTGCTCTGTGACAAGGTTCAGACCTTGGGACCACACACTGGGAAGCACTAAAACCAGAGTTTTGGACCCAAGGCCCAAACTCCTGAGATTATATGCCAGGTCTGGCTACCTGCCCCTAAACACTAAATAAAGAGGCATGGTGAAGGCAGAGAAAGGAAATGTATTACATGGCTCGGGCATGGTGAAGGCAGAGAAAGGAAATGTATTACACAGCTCGGGCATGCTGTGGGAAGAGGTAGCGTAAGCACTCAGCTCATCCTCAACCATCTTCAGGGTACAGACACAAGCTATAGCTTTAAGTAGACAAAAGAACTGGAGGCAGGGGACAAAGGTATGCATAGTTAAACAGTTCCAGTCACAGGTGTGTTCTGGTTGACCATTATCTCAGTCCAAGGGTTCCCAGAGGGGTTCCGGAGAAGTTACCACTTGAGGGAGTGATCTGGTTTCCATGAGTTGATTGCTCTAATTGTCCTCATTTGGAGGGGTGGTCTGTCTTGCAAGTCTCCACCTTTCCTTCATAGGAAGTTTCAGCCCCTTGTCATAAAGATGTTATCAGCTCTATCCTTTCTGGAATCCAAGGTGATTGCAAAGTGACTGCAAAGAGAATGGCTTAGACAGATACAAAATGGAGGCAGGGATGCCAAGCTTCTGTTTTTAGTTAATTCATGGGCCTAAGTAAGGAGTCAGTGCTTTTCTGCAAAAGCAATTTGAATGCCTCTTACAGCACTGAACTATGTCTTTCTTGAAAATTTCTTTGAAGTTCTGCTACCATTGCTCAGCTAAAAAAGTGTATCCTCTTTCATTTTTTTCAGCCTGGAACTTGAGATCGTCCTGCCTAAGTGCTATGGTTATAGGCATGTGCCACTATACTGGCTTTTTCTCGTTTCTATAGCAGCAGTTTTTGGTGCATTGTCACATACTGCCTTCTGTTGAAGGGGTAAAATTGAAGAGGTAGTTGTTAAAATTTTCACAAAGATAGCACTAGCTACAGGAGAAGAGCAGGATGCCCTTTCAGATCTGAAGATAGACTGTAGCTGGCTAGGACCAGGCAGCTTCCTGGGCAGGGATGTAGGATCTGTGTAGCAGCTGCTTGGGTGTATTTGAGTCTTACCTTTGAATGAGTAATTTATTATCATACAAGTATTTCAGAAATTTCCTTGAATGTGTGATGTGATTGTCTCTGCTATGAAAACTGAGATGACCAGTCTCAGGAATAGAGGACACTTCTTTGACTTGGGGTGAATTAGAATGGGATGAGGGATTGGGGACTAAGGCAGATTTGATGATAATGACAATATTTAAATTTCAGTACAGCCCAGATGCACCTGGGCTAAACCTCAGTCCTGACAGGGAGGTGGGTAAAGCTCAGGCCTGAACTTGTGGGAAAGAAGATGAATCTTGATGCCCAGATATGTGGGTCCTCAGGCCCTGTCACTCATGATAGGTAGGATGGTTGTTTTTCCCTAGTTCTTTGTTGTTGTTTTTGAGTTTGTTTTTTTTTTTTGCAGTCCTGGGGTTTGAACTCAGGGCCTTGCTCTCAGGCAGGCACTCTTCCGATTAAACCACACCCTCATCCCCTTTCCCTAGTTCTTTGAAAGATGCTGAGCCTTGTCTCCCAGGGGTAGTAAGTGGTCTGTGTGGTCACTTCAAATCTATCCTTTCTCCACTCCATCATGGTGATAGAAGCTTCTTTAAGGAACACTGATGTTGATATCTTTCATTATAAGGACTTTGCTCCTTGAACAAGAGGCCTGAGAATGAGGGTCCCCACTGGGGTGGCAGGCCCAGGACTAGGCAGGTTCTGCCTAGGCAGAGAACAGAGGCTCTTT